AATGCTTTATCTCATTTGATACAGTTTTATTTGATTCTCTCTGAATAGAGGTCTTGTTTATCACATATTTTCTAGCATTAATTTATACCATCCTTCTCTCTGTGTCTCTCTCATTCTCTTTGCCTTCCTCTTTTTCTTTTCCTCTTAATTTGTTCTCAGATCTATTCACATCCACCTCTTCGATCCATGACCACAACTTCATTAATTTAATGTTAAACTGTTTAGGTGGTTTGTGTTGACTACTTTCTTTTACCCTAAATACATTCTGTGCTTTCTGTTTACCCTATATAAATCCTGTCTCTAAATCTGCCAATATCCAATGAAAATCATTCATAGATGCTACAGATACAAAAACACTGCTTAGATTCTTTAAAAGATAACTTCAACAGCCTTATTAAGCCAGTATAAATCACATTTCCTACTGAACATTGCCAGTTTAACTATACTAGTGCCTGTTTTTCCCCTGATGCTTTGCCATTATTTTCAATTAACTTAGAATGGACTTTTATCTCTTGGTGTAAGCCTGCCTGTTTGCAGCATCACAACCTCAATTGCCTTCTCTGTGCCAATTATTCTTTCCCATTAGCTATTAGCTTTATCATAATTACTCAAAAAAAAAAAAAAAAACACCTGTTCTGTGGAGGTGAGTCACTGCAACTATAAATACCTCATCTCACTCTTTCCTTTTAATGATACTTTCTCATAACTACTCTTTTGTTTTTAGCCAGTGGACAGCAATTTCTTTATTCCAATAAACAACCAAACAAATAAGCAAACAAATTGTTTAGCACTGCATTGCAGTTAGGTTGATATCATAGTACTCCTTTTTAAACTACGGAAATTTACTTGTCAAGGTTGAAATGAAGAATGGGGAAAATCCATCAATTTCTTTCCTTATACTTGACTTTAAAAAAAAGACAAAATCTCACAATCTTTCCAGTTGAAACATGAAAATATTTGTGAATTTTGGTAAAACTCCAAAAACCAATGGTCAGAATTCCTTATCATGTATCATGTATTTATCATTTATTATGTAACTTTATGTATACATAGTTACATAGCACAGACACTAAGGAACCCTTCTAGTGAATTGCAAAGATGTGTAATAAGACAGCACAAGAGTGTCCTAATGTGCATCAGGCTCTACCAGTACACACTGACATTCCCTTTCTTGTGTCTTGCTGCAAATCAAGACCAATGCTCACTGGATCCTATTGTGCATCATCCTTGTTGTGAAGCAATCCCAATGTGTGTTGGTCATTTTGCCAGGTCCCTTACATAGTAACATAACAACAGTCCTTACTGGATACATATGTTATTGAACTGCTTGTTTGTAATTTCCACAGCAAAGACACAATCCCAAATAGGAATCTGACTATTATTTTTCTTCATTCACACCATGGTCAGCAATTCAATTGATTGTTGTTATATGCCTTCAAGTTGACTCAGAAGTAATGAGACATTATCATAGGAGTTTTCTTGGCAAGACTTGTTCAGAGATGTATTTACTATTGCCTTCCTCTGAGGATGAGATGGTGTGCCTTTTCAAAGGTCAGCCAGTGGGGTTCCATGCCTGAGTGGAAATATTGGTCTCCTAGTCCAATATTCAAACTAGAACACCACACTGGTTGCATCCACACATTCAATAGGTACAGCTATTTTTAGAATGAAGAAAACCATATGGTCCTGCCCAATATATAGGGGTTTAAAGATGTGTAGTCTCTCAGGAAAAAAAGGTGGAATGTACCATTCACTAAAATGAGTGAATTAAGAAGAATTGAAAACACAGCATTTGAGACATGTACTTTCAAAGTTTACATTTTAGATCCCTTCCACATTTGGATTTTTAAAATCTAAAGTTTCTTCCATCTCAGTTTTGAAGAAATTTGCAAATGCTGGTAAATTCTGATTTTGAACAAATGATCTGAAATTAAATTCTTACCCCCTATAGTACAATTGTTTATGTTCTGACTATGAAGTCAGTGGGGGGATGTACCACTTTTCAGTTTAAGAGTTGGACTGCAGCCAGTTTTTTACATATATTTATTCATACCTCAATGACTTTAAGTAACATTTGATCTGCAAATATGGGAGGACCAACCTAGACAACAAAAGAGAAAACAAGCATATTATCTTAATGCAAAGCTTTACAAATAATTCATTTTACACATTCAGTTGTCAGTCATCAAGCATACAATAAGAAAGCATAGAAAAATCAAGCCATGTACTTATAATGAGGCCCCAAACAGGTCACCATTAATAAGATTCTTGAAGCCCTTTGATATAAAATCACATCAACATTCTTCATTTTAACCAAAGGTTATCCCTTGATCTCAGAAAGTTCTATCAGTGATATCCCCATCAGGTTGAAGTACACAGCTCTATGGGCTACTCACAGCTCAGGAAATAGCACCCAGAAGGTTTGGCATCTGGGCAGCCAAGGATAATGAAAATTCACTGTTCATCTTTTTAATGAGATGTTTGGATTCTTTTGGATGGAGCAAGGGGGGATGCAGACGGGTGGCCCTGGGACTCCCTTTCGCCACTTGGGAAAGGAGCACCAAAACACCGCTCCTTTCACAGGCGGTGAAAAGGGCACCCAAAGAGCTGCCATGCAGCTCTTCTGGCACAGTGTGTAAAAATGCTGCACCGTGATGATGTCCTCAGGAAGGGGTTGGGTTGCCTGGCATGTGGCTGCCCCTCCCCTGCCCTGCCTCCAAGACAGCACTTTGTGCTGTCTGTAGAGTCCCTGAGAGAGAAAAAGACTAACACTTAGAACAGGGGTAGGCAACCTAAGGCCCAGGGGCCAGATGTGGCCCCCCGAGGCCTTTGGACCGGCCCCAGGGCGGTCCTGCTGCCACCGCCGCTGCCACCGCCTGCCATGATGATATTGATTATTGTTGTTATTACTTGTTCTTGGAGTTTTCTTGGTAAAACCTCCACAGGGGTTTTGCCATGGCTTTTCTGGGGCTGAGAGTGTGCATGCATATTTTTTTAATTTTAAAAAAATATTTTATTTATTTATTTATTTATTTTTGGTGCTTCGGCTCCCCAATTATCTGAGGAACAGCAACCCGGCCCCCAACTCAAAAAGGTTGCCTACCCCTGACTTAGAATATAATCAGAGGACAGTCTACAGGTGGATAGTGGAGGCAACAGAATGATAATTCCAGCTTCATATTCTTGATGTCCTTAGCTAGATGCTGCTATAAATTGCAGGTTTTTTACTGAATAGTTGGAGTGACAGAGAGATTATCACACCAGATTTACCATCCATCTTCTGAAGCCTTTTTGCATGACTACTCCATGCATGTGGAGAATTGGTAGGACTGAGGAAGCATCTTTCTATGTTCTCACTGCATGGCATGAAGTAGTACATAAATGATGCTGCAACAACAACAACAACAACAACAACAACAACACTTTATTTTTATATCCTGCCTTTTGCCATGGCCATCAAGGCGGCATACATATAAAATTAAATTTAAATAAAACATGCCCAAACTAAACAATACTAATACATAACAGTCAACCCCCTTTTAAAAATATATAAAATCCAAAAATACAAAAGTAAAAGCATTGGATTAAAACATTCTGGGACACCAGTAAAAGCATGGAGAGGATGTCTAAAGGCCTAAGCAGACTGCCAAAAATAGTGCACATTAAATTGAGGCACTGCCCTGGCTCAGTGCTAGGGAATCATGAGAATTGTATTTTTTTCTGAGACATTGAGCCTTCTCTGTCAGAGAGCTCTGGTGCCACAATAAATTACAATTCCCATGATTCCCTAGCACTGAGCCAGGGCAGTGCCTCAATTTAATGTGCACTATTTCTGGCAGTCTGCTTAGGCCCTATGAAGGAGGGAGGCCAAGTTAGGTGAGGTTATCTGTTCAGGGAAGGCCTGCAGGAAGAGATCTGTCTTGATGGCTTTTTTAAAGCTGTCCAAGCTGGTTATTTGATGGATTTTCTCTGGCAAGGCGTTCCACAGTCTGGGAGTGGTGGCAGAAAATGTCCTCTGGGAGGTTACTGCTAATCTAGTTTTTATTGGTGTCATTTATTTGGGTGTCATCAACATATTGATAACACCCCGCCCCATGTCAATGGATGATCTCCTCGAGAGGTTTCATATAATATTGAACAGTATTGAGGACAGGATAGCACCTTATGGGACACCACATTTAAGCTCTTTTTTTGAAGAGCAACTGCCCCCAAGTGACACACTTTGGAATCTGCCCGAGAGGAAGGAACGGAACCACTGAAGTACAGTGCCTCCCATTCCTAACTCTCTCAGGCGTTCCAAGAGGATGTAATGGTCTATTGTACCAAAAACCCTTGAGAGGTCCAAAAGCACCAACTAGGTCATGCTTCCCCTTTCAATGCTTAGGCGCAGGTCATCTGCTAGAGTGACCATGGCTGTCTCCACCCCATATCCCAGTCTGAAGCCAGTTTGAAATGGACCTAGAAAATTGGTTTCATCCAAGATCACTTGAAGTTGAAAGGCAACAGCTCGTTCAATCACCTTGCGCAAAAATGGTAGATGAGAAACCAGTCTATAATTTTTCAGATCCAAGGGGTCCAGGGAAGGTTTCTTCAGGACCGGTCTAACAACAGCTTCTTTTAAACATGTTGGAACAATTCCTTACCTAAGCAATGCATTGATGACCTTTTTAAGAAAAGGCATCAAGGCATCACCCCCCCCCCCCCTGGATCACCAGCCAAGATGGGCAGGGATCGAGGGAGCATGTCATCTTCTTCACTTTTCCAAGGATCTTGTCCACATCATTGGTACTCATGGGTTTGAATCGATCCAGTTTAATCTCAAAAACAGGTTTATTGAACACCTCATCAGTCAATTCTGCTATAATCCCAGCATCCAAGTTGGCTCTTATCTGAGAGATATTATCTGTGAAATAGTTGTTAAAAACTGATTATTATTATTATTATTATTGCTATTGCTATCTCCTGAGGCTGAGAGAGTGTGACTCGCCAAGGTTGCCTACTGACTGAGCCAGGATTTGAACCCTGATCTCCAGAATCAAAGTCCAACATTCAAATCACTACACCACACTGGCTTTCTTCTAGCAGCTACTCAGCAACGATTGTTCTTGCTGAAGAAGGCCTCAGATCCTTCTCTTTCATAGCCATCTCACTTCATTTTCACAAAGTGGCACACTAGCATTTTGCAGGTAGGAGAACTATCTACGGTACTATTCTTATCAGGTCCTTGATAATATTCTCTATGAAATATGCAGCTCTCTCAGCTTTTTCTCCACTGAAGCAGTTACATCTGGGATCACCTCCTAAATCTTCAATGCACAATGTCTTCACCCATAAGCTTCTAGACCTTTCCCTTACAAGTCTCTCACCCATAAGGGGAAAACTCTTACATCCATGAATCCATCCATTCATTCACACACTAAATATTCTAGATAAAAATGTGAGAATGTGCCTTTGATATAGATGGAAATACAGTTCCTGTTTATGCCTCCAGCAGTACTTCATCTTTAGTAGTAAAAAACAAGAGCTCACAAATATAAAATATTGTTACCGCCATACAGAACAGCTAAAGCACTGAGTGTAATAAAAAAAACTATCGGTAACCACAAATGTTAACAAACTTGAAGTAAACTTGATATTAGTTAACATTTATGAGTACTTCCCACCATAGCCATTCATCATTATCAGATGTTGAAAGACCAAGGAATAAATCACCTGAACTTAATAAAAATATCTTTAAAATATAGTGGACATATACTAAATCAGCCAACTGCATAACCAAAAAGCAAAGCCTACAAACCAGTTCTAGCTAAAATTACAGCACAAATAGTGATTTGCAGTACAAATAATTTTAAGGGAAATATAGCATGAAATCTCATTTTAGGCTGGATACCTTAGAGTGGAACGGAATTAGAAAATCTTGGTCAATCAAAAACAGAAAATAGCTACAAAGCTTTAAAAAATGTCTTTTTCTAAGACAAAAAATGACAATTATTCCCAGTACACAAGGCATGGAAATGCATAAACAACTTCCAAGGAAGTGCATTTTGGTGATAAGAGTAGACATTTTGTGGTTCTGAAACCCAGGTCTATCAGATAAGAGAATGAATTGTCCCATAAGATTACATGCCATGTAGACTAAGGGCCTTTGCAGACTGCCAGAAATAGTGCACATTAAATTGAGGCACTGCCCTGGCTCAGTGCTAGGGAGTCATGGGAATTGTAGTTTTTTCTGAGACAGAGCTCTGGTGCCACAATAAATTACAGTTCCCATGATTCCCTAGCACTGAGCCAGGGCAGTGCCTCAATTTAATGTGCACTATTTCTGGCAGTCTGCTTAGGCCCTCACTTTAATATAATATAACATTCCCATTAAATGGCTATGCTGTTTGGGTCCAATGAAATAAATACCTTTGAGAATTGTGTATACATAAGTGGAAGAAACAGTGGAATTCAGACGGAAGAACAGTTTGCTCAAATCTCAATTCCTACACCCAATCACACATAACTTGTATGGCTCAAACATCATTTTGAGAAGTTAGGCAACTGGCAATTTTGCAAAATTTATAAAAGGTTGAATTCATAATACTTAGGGCAGGGGTAGGCAACCTAAGGCCCGGGGGCCGGATGCGGCCCCCTGAGGCCTTTGGACCGGCCCCAGGCCGGTCCTGCCGCCGCCACTACCCGCCATGATGATATTGATTATTGTTGTTATTACTTGTTCTTGGGGTTTTCTTGGCATAATCTCCACAGAGGTTTTGCCATGGCTTTTCTGGGGCTGTGAGAGTGTGCATGCATATTTTTCTATTTTTTAAAATTATTTATTTATTTATGGTGCTTCAGCCCCCCAACTGTCTGAGGGACAGCAACCCGGCCCCTGGCTCAAAAAGGTTGCCTACCCCTGACTTAGGGCCTAAGCAGACTGCCATAAATAGTGCACATTAAATTGAGGCACTGCCCTGGCTCAGTGCTAGGGAATCATGGGAACTGTAATTTATTGTGGCACCAGAGCTCTCCAACAGAGAAGGTTCAGTGTCTAAGAAAAAAATACAGTTCCCATGATTCCCTAGCACTGAGCCAGGGCAGTGCCTCAATTTAATGTGCAGTATTTCTGGCAGTCTGCTTAGGCCCACAGTCTTCTTACCTGGAGAGGGATGCAGTGCACTGTAGGAATCATGCAGTTTGACACCACTTTAAGTGTTGTAGTGATATCCTATGGAATCATGGGATTTGTTGTTTTACGAGTTTTAGCCTTCTCTGCCAAAATGTGCTGGTATCTCACAAAACTACAACTCCCAGGACTCTGTACAATAGAGCCATGGCAGTTAAACGGGTGTCAGACTGAATTATTTCTACAATGCAGATGCACCCTGGAGTCACAGGGTGCATGGAGTTACCTTGATGCCTTGTATCACCATAGCCTGATGCCATCTAAACCTATGAGTATGGATGGTGGAACTACTATCTTGGTCAGCAGCTAAAAACCCATTTTTGCTGAGCTAATGTAAATGTCTAGGGAATCAGTAGATGAAAATGCTAAGGCTTTCCCTTTTAAATTATCTTTTGGAAATGTTGGTCAAACCAGTTTCCCATAAGCTGGGCTAGTTTATGGTTTCAGAGCTTGACTAGGTTAAAAATGTATTTTAAAAGCAGCTCATAAGGCAGTAGAGTGCTGGAAGCAAGTGATTCCTCTCAGCTCTCACTGGATTCCTACATAATGTCAAGTTATATTCCCTTGAAAGCATCATATAGTTCTGCTTGTTTTAAAGCCTAAGCAAGTGTGAAAATATAAATACTCAAGCCATGCACTGATTCCACATCCTGGCATTGTAGTGATTCACTTGAAGCAAATAGGAAGAGTGGAAGAGGACTCTATAAGTCACCAGATCACAATATGAAGTATGAACAGCATTCAAGATGAAACCTTTCTGAGTAAATACATGGGTATGAGGGATGGAACTCTACAATTCCCAGGATCATGACTAGACTCCTCCATAAGTTGCAAGTTTAAAATTGTTTAGTAGTCTTACAGATGTGAGAACAGGAATATGAGTTTTTCCAATACCTCTCCTTAATGATCACTGAGAAGTAACACTGGTAGCAGCAGAACATTAGATTGAAAGTGTCACAAGGGTGGGGGAATATCAGATCTCTACCATTCAGGCAAATGTTTAACTCTTTTTAGATCATTGCATCCTGTATCTGTATAGTCCTTAAAACAGACAGTCTTTTGAACTAGGGATGTAAAAAACATTAGCAAATTTTCTCACCTCCAGTAAGAAAGGATATCTGTACATGTCAAGATCGTCCTTGGGAGAGGGGAAAAAAAGTCAGCTGGTGCAATTTTTTACACCTATGTGAAGGTGAGGAGACCATTACTTTTTACTTCCAGTTTTATATTTTTGTTGGTATGTTGTTGTTGGCTTAAAATGCATTTTCACACCCAAAAAAATTAACAAAAAAGTCCCTAAATGTTGAAAATCCTTGAAAATGTGCAAAAACCTCTCCTGATCTTAGAAGCAGCAAGAACACTTTTTAAAGTTTTCATCCTTTCATGCAAGAAAAAAATATGTGAAGATTTTCATCCATATGAAGTCAAAGACTTTCATGGCTGTCATCCATAGGTTTTTGTGGGGGTTTTTGGGCTGTCAGGACATGTTCTAGATGAATTTATTCCTTTATTGTTGTTTCACCTGCATCTGTGGCTGGCATCTTCAGAGTATGGTGGCATGGAGGTGTGTGGGGTATATATATACTGTGTGACCTTTGGTTGAGAGGATTAGCATGTAAATTAGCATTTAAATCTATGCATTGTTCTGTTGAGGCAAAGCCTCAGGATGGAAGGATATTGTGAGGAGGATTAGCATCAATGGACCATTAATTAAATAGACACTAATCTATATCCCACACACCTCCATTCCACCATCCTCTGAAGATGCCAACCACAGATGCAGGCAAAACATCAGGAATAAATTCTTCTAGAACATGGCCTGAAAGCCCCCAAACCCTTTAAAAACCTTTTTTCTTCCATGTTTGGAGAATTGCTCTACTTTTGTAGGAATTAAATTTTCCATAAAGATTTTCCATAAAGATTTCCCTAAGATCTAGCACTAATCTAAAGATGCTGGCCCTGTGGGAAAGACACATATAATCGGCCTACCCTTGTAACTTTGGGCCTCGGCAGATGGCTAATTGGGCCATCTTGGAGGCAGGGAAGAGGAGGGGCAGCCACACGCTCGGTGCCCCTTCCTCCTCCTGAGGTTGCCCTCGGAGCAGCCGGCCCTCCACACAGCCGGCGCTCCGAGGGCAACCTCCTGCCGCAGCGTCCACACACGCTGCGGCGGATAAGTCAGTGAAAATGCGCCCTATGCTTTTGGGGCACACTTTCACAGACTTCTGAAAGGAGCGCTGATTTAGTGCTCCTTTCAGGGGCGCCGATGGTACGCCGTGGTGCAGATGCAGCGGTCCCGCGGCGCACCGTCCCGCGGCATCCCAGACGCCCTCGTCTGCTTCCCCCCTTTGTGAATCAGTGAAACAGTAACTGTGTTCTGCAGGAACCTTTCCTACATGAGGTCAATAACACTTAAAGCAGGGGTTGGAATGATCTGGGGGATTGAGTCCATTATTGCATCCCCAAGACCCACTATGGGCCACTAAAATGCATTTCTTTCCAGATCACTGGGAAAATATTTTGCAAAAGTGTAACACCTTTGAGACTAACTGAGAGAAGGAAAATTGTAGCATAAACTGAATCAGCCCAAAGTATCCTGAGCCTTGTCTGCATGGGACGAAAGGTTCATCTCTGCCCCCCTCCCCAGTTCAGGTGTTGTCCTATTCAGGTGATGCGCATCCCAAACCCCAGGTCTGGTGCAAGCATCCACTGATGCCATGAGTCATTTGCTTCTGAGGTCAGAATGAATGACCTACAGCTTGGCAGGATGCCCATGCAGACAGTGTGGGAATGGGGAGCTCCAGATCTTCCTGGAAGATCCAGGGCAACAGATATATTTTTAAAACCATTTTAAGGCTGCTTTACCCTTGTTCTTGTATAGAACAGGCTGGATATCATTTGGAC